AAAGAGCCAGCCTATCTTCTTGCCGATCTATCCTGGACAAGGACAGCAACCATGGTGACACAAGGGTATCCACGGAGTTTCAGAGTGCTGAAGACTTCATGACAATCAGAATCACAATTAGATACCGGATTCTCAGAGGGGCAGAGTTTTTAGTACTTACATAGGATAAAGAGGTAACATTTAAAACGTGTATCCCGGGGTGCATGGGTGGCTCAGTTGGTTAAGCGACTGCCTTCGGCTCAGGTCATGATCCTGGAGTCCCGGGATCAAGTCCCACATCGGGCTCCCTGCTCAGCGGGGAGCCTGCTGCTCCCTCTGACCCTTCCCCCTCTCATGCTCTCTCTCTCATTCTCTCTCTCAAATAAATAAAATCTTAAAAAAAAAAAAAAAAGTGTATCCCTGGAGGGATGAGCTACTAGTAAATTAATTATCTCCTTTGCCTCTCTCTGCCTCTACACCATTTATTGTAGCGTTGGCATCCCACCCCCACTGCTAATTTTCTTCTTGAGCTTTGTCCTCAATTTCTGCTAGTACAATGCAATATCAGTAGCAGGGAAAAAGGGGGGAAGAAGAAAGGATAACTGAAAATTTCCCAGGGATCTAGATTAGAGAACTAACCTCAGATACGGTTGGCGTAGGAGGTGCTGGAGTATGCTGGAGAGACATTGATCTTGGAGTCCTACGGCCATGGTTCAAGCCCCAGCTCTGCTACTTACTCACCGGGGACCCTGGCCGCTCTCTTAACCTCCATGAGCTGTAGTTATCTAATTTGCAAAATGAGAAGAGTCACTGCACTGCAGCCTCCCAGGGCTTGTTGTAAGGGTCAAACGAGACAAAGATTGTGACCAGTGCTATAGAGAGCTAAATAAATGCATGTTATCCCTGGTGTATCTCTTAAGCTTGTCACACTGAAGACCCTCATCCCTCCAGCGAACTGTTCCCAATTACTGCACATTCCAAGTCATCTGGACAGTGTCTGACTCATTCCCCACCCCTATATGCTTGAAGGGGCTTTTATGGTCACTGCCTTCATATGCCATTTCATTTGCCCCTCCATTCATTTTACAAACATTTGCTGAATGCCTAGTATGCCTCACATGGTGTGCTATGTGCTGGGGATAGATATAAATAAACTGTAGTTCCTGCTGTTCTGTAGGAATAGTTAATCTCAGAAATCTTACCTATTCTCCTACTAGAAGATTCATGATAAGTCTCAAATATACATCTTCTGATCCTGAGTCACACCTTAGCTCTATAGGACCTGTGTAATGTCTGTGCTTTCCTTATCCCTAAACCTAGCAAGACTAATGCTTTCCTATCCTAGTGGCGCAGGATCCTAATTCCACGATTACTAGCCAGGCCTTCAACATTTCCCCAAACTCAAAAATGCAGGTGATATCCTTTTAATCCTTCCTCTTTCAAGGCATTAAGATTAATCCTCCCAGGGCACCTGGGTGGCTCAGTCGTTAAGCGTCTGCCTTCGGCTCAGGTCATGATTCTAGGGTCCTGGGATCGAGCCCCGCATCGGGCTCCCTGCTCCGAGGGAAGCCTGCTTCTCCCTCTCCCACTCCCCCTGCTTGTGTTCCCTCTCTCGCTGTGTCTCTCTCTGTCAAATAAATAAATAAAATCTTTTAAGAAAAAAGATTAATCCTCCCAATTTCCCTTGGATAGTATTTCCTGGAGGAATCTTCTCCCTCTCCACAGGTAGACCTACAGCCCACTCATGTCCCAGCTTTTGAGTGATGGCGGTAACCTATTCCCTGTTAATCCGGCTTCTCTCCACATCAGTCCATCCGATACAGGGTTGATTTTCCTACCTGACTAATCTGACTCCACAGCAACACTTCTCTCTTGCTCTGGATTTTCTTAAAACCTAGGTCCACAGTCTAGATCACATTATCATACATACTAACATGGCGCTTTAAAATTATCCACTCCATGGCCAAGATGTGCCTTGGGTATCAGTGATAATTTTTTAACAAACACAGCTTCTTCTCTCACGGAAGACCTAGAAATTAATCCCATCAGATATGTGGCAAAGGCCACCTTATAAAACAGCAAAGGACATGCTCCGAGGTTAGTGACAGAGCATGTCTGAGTTCCTCACATTGCAGAAGCAGGGAGCAACAAAGCCAAGACCCTGTGGGATTGCTCTCCCTTCTGCTAATGGCACTTGGTTGGCAGAGGTGATGAGATTGTAACATCCTCAAATGGACGGAAAATAAATAAACTCCTTTCTCTCTCTCTCTCTCTCTCTCTCTCTCTCTAAACAGACAAGTTGCGGCTCGGAAATTTTTCAGTTTTTCTCATTGCAAAATCAATACCCATCAGCAGTTTGAAATTAAAGGCAAGATTAGGCCTCAGTTTTATACATGCCTTATTGTATTCCAAAAGCTTTCTACTCAGTCAGATAAATCTTCTTTAAGAGGATTAGGAAACTTTCATTATCTTTATCTAACCTGAACTAACACTAAGTCTGAAGAATTAATCTATAGACTGGACAAAAGCTGATAGGTGCTGGGAAGAAGGAGGAGTCTTGGACTTCTTTCTAATTGAGCAGTAGGGTCTTTGCTTCTACCCACTAGAAATTCAACTGGTCTCCAAAGAAAGAACAAGTTGCCCCATTGCTAACCAAGACAGAAGAGAATGTAGCTCCCTGTGGGTCTTCCTTTTACCTCTCAATAAATGGAAAGATCCATCTGCTAAGTGTTCCACGGGAAGGTTGTCTCCTTTTACCTCCGCCTTCCCCGCATTGGATTTCACAGGCCACCTCAGCCACCCAGAGCTACAACAGTCACTTGGTCTGAAATGTGGAGACTGTGAGGAACTGACCTCTGAAATTGAAGTCACTTCACTGCTCTGCTCTTGCCTGTTCTCAGACTCTTTCTGACCCAAACCTATGAGGCCCACAGGGAGACACCACTGGCTCCCATATCCAGCCCAAGGAATTGCTCCATGGGCCTTATGAAGCACATTATCCCCGAAGCTCTGGATCACTAGCCCTTTATGGCCTATATTGACTTGACATGCTTATACAATCCGTCTTATTTCCTAAAAAGTGATAGCCTTGTTCTGTTTGAGTCTGGTTCTGTAGAGTGCCTGACAGTTCTTTTTTATTTCAGTGCTGCATTTCCTGAATTTGAAGATAACTTTGCTGTCAAGGCCACGAAGGTGCCACAGAGGTGTCACTTCCAATGCTGAGAATTTCAGCTCCTCTGGAGCCAAGCCCAAGTGGCAGGCAGGGTAGTGAGAACTCACACTCCCTTGTTTTCTGCACCCCCAGGAACTTTCAACAGACATTCCAGCTCATCTCAGATAACTGATCTCACCAAGCACCACTACCAGCCTCTGAGAAAAAACATCAGACATGACAGTTGTCTTGATCTCCAGATGGCAGGCCATCTTGTAGCTCCAAAGCGGTAATTATCACCAAGCCAAGCCCCTGGGTGGGACAGGTATGGAGAATGGAAACAGCTGAGTGTACAGATAACTGTCAAATGCAGGCTGATGTGGGCATCTGAAAGCCCTCGGGGAGGAGAGAAGGGCTGGAAGGCTGAACTGAGATTGGGCTTCAAACAATATGGCAGCACCAGGGCCTGCTGTGGAACAACGCTGCAGCAGACTGATCTCTGGTCCTGCACATGCCATAACAAATGGCCCACAGAGCCGGAGACATAGCAAAAAGCTGTTCTAGCCAAAAGAAAGTGATGGCCCCCCTGAATTCTACAAGTGACAAAAGTGTGAAAAGACACTAACCTCTATTCAAACTCTCCATGAAACCAACTGAAATGAGCAAAATTATATTCTTTAGTAAAGCAAGGGTGAGGACATCCACATTAGCTAAGCCAAGATGCCGCACACATTTCACAAACTGAAAAAAATTCGTTGAGTCTACTGCAGATGCGATCTGATAAAAGGCACTTACTAAAGACTGAATCACACCCAGGGACTCCTGAGAGCTCAGTGTGTGACTCCAACAGGTCAGTGTAGGAGACTGTGAGAAAGGTGCACCCAAGCCTCTCCTTTAGAGGAGGAAACTATGGCACTAGGGGATGGGAAGTAGTCTCCCTAGCACTTCATTGCTACCATGAGTCAATACCTGACAGAAACTGCTTTACATAGTGATGGTGGGATGAGGGTGGGGGGATGACGTTAGTTGGGGGCAGCTTAAAATAAGTTAATTTGTATTGCTGCCTTGTTTTAAAATGGTGTCCAAATTCTCATAGCTGCTATTTGAATGTGTTTTTTAATTATTAATATTTAATAGTTGATAATTGGGTATCTGACATTTCTTCAGCCTTATTTTTTTCCTACATTGTAAAATTCTAATGAAAAACTATTGAATAATATGCTTGGGTATACTGACACAGATTTTTAGAGGGAGGATGTTAGAGAACACCTCCCCTTTTAAAAAATTATATAGATATTATTTCTGACATAGACCTGGAGATAGCATTTTGACTAATATCCTTCTTAATCTCGGCTCCACTGTGAGGCTAAAGGGATGCACAGACACAGCCTTCATACCAGGGAGGACTTGACTCAGCTCCCAGAAACCCCTTCTGGAACATGCATACCCAACAACCATGCAAAAGCCAGTCACAAGGCACATAACTTCACATCAGTGTTATTAACCTCTTATGAAATAATCCTATGAAAGGTGATTAAAAGGCACAGAGAATAGTAATATCTCTATTTTTTAGTATGTCTTGCCCAACTCCAAAGTGCTAAGTAACTTAATAGTTCAACCAGCACACGCCAAACAACTTATTAATAAGAACAGAAGGACCAGAGATAAAATTGAGAAACTGCAAAGATATTCAGTACTTAGTTAAGAATCCAGCAGATGGGAAGGAATCCAAAACATAACACTCAACCTTGGGGTTCCATAGAGGAAAATGTTTTTCAGGTCTTCATACATGAGTAGAACAAAGACTGAGATTACGCCTCCCTTCCATCATCGACAGGACCACTAACCCCCAGATCCAGCTGTGACTCACCTTGCACTATGAGGTGGACCCGGGAAGTTTTAGGGTGGTTGTCTGTCTGCACAGAGCACGTGTATGGGCCCTCATCATATACATCCACATTCTGGATCATGATGCTGTACTGGGTTGGTGTGTTGACCAGGATGATCACACGAGGGTCTATGGACCATTTGTCATTCCCAGCATAGAGGATGGTGCTGCGGTTTAGCCAGGCCACACGGGTGACTCGGTCATCTATGGTACACCTGTAAGTGAGGGGTGTGGGGAGAGGAGAGGGAAGATGTGGGGGAAGGGGAGAGGAAAACGGGGACGGAAACATTGAGGAAGGGAGGTAGGGGAGGGAGGAAGAGAGTGTTGAGAGACTGCATTATAAATGTGGTTGCTGTATTTTGAGGACTAAATAAAACAACATAACCCAATGCTAAAAGGAAACAATCAATTATTGATGAAACTTCCTGAACATAGGGTAACAGTGGCCTGAATCATCCTGAAGAACCGATGATACAAAATCATTTCTATTTGATTTAGGAGCATATTATGTGAATATCTTTGCTGTATATTTGCTTTCCATCTTATTTTTCCCCGCAGGCTTATATGAAAATTAGTTTATATTTCTTGAGCACATTTACCACCTTGTGGGAGAGGTGGCCCAGGGGCATAAGGGTGAGAAAAGTGGATCAGTATTTCAAATAGGTCACAGATAATCCACAAAGTAAATACCTAACCTGTTGTTAGTCAAAAAGTGAACATATTTACCTCCAGCCTTCCCTGGTATTGATAATCTCCTTGTACCCTTAAGCTACCCAAAGCCTGCAAACTACAATTTATAACACGGATTGATAAAATTCACCTTTGAAAGCCAACAATTTTTGAGGAAGCCATGGGTACCTCTGAAGATGTCAGCAGAAGGAAGAAGACAGTGGTCAGGCAGCGTTCCTTCTCCCTCTTATGGCCACCCCCCTCCATGAGAACAATATGGCTGATGTCACCTCGGTCATCATCATGGTAAAGAGCTGAACTCTACCCCCTCATACCCCACATCCACTCTTCCCTACAACTGGAAGCTATGAACGCAAGTGGAATTTGTTTTATGGTGTGTATGACTTGCAGTCTCTCAAGATTAATGCAGGAATAAATACACCTGCCGGTCAGAAAGAAAATTTGCATATGTGCACCATGATCCTATAATCTGTGTAAAGAAAATAGAGAGAAGAGGGGCACCTGGGTGTCTCAACAGGTTAAGCGTCTGACTCTTGGTTTCTGCTCAGGTCATGATCTCAGGGTCACGTGATTGAGCTCCGAGTCGGGCTCTGTGTTGGGCATGGAGCCTGCTTACTCCCTCCCTCTCCCTCTGTCCCTCCCCACTGCTCATCCCTATCTCTCTTTAAAAAAAAAAAAAACAAAAAAAACAAAAAAAAAAAAACAAGAAAATAGAGAGAAGAGAATCCATTATAAATGTGGATTGCAAAAAAGGAGGTAGTTAAAGGGCCCTAGGTGTGCCCACCTGCCACTCATTGCTTTAGTCTGAACCTGAGTTGCAGTATCTGGGCAAATAGGAAGGTGCAATTACACCTCCACTGCTCTCTGGAGAAGTCCTAGCAAAGAAGTATGAGGCCAACCTTCTGGGCACAAGGAACATGAATCCAGCACCTCCACCTGAGAAAACAGAAAAAACGTTGCCATATCTCACCAAATCTGATCCCATTTTGACTGAAAGCAGAGATCCTCTGACAAGCCTCAGAGGATGAGAACACCAAGGACACTGGCAATAGAGGAGAGATCATGCACATTTGGACATGGTGATTTCCCTTAGCAATGTGGCCAGCCTGACACAGCCTGACGGTCATGGGAGCAGAATAATACTGGAGCACTAACATGATAGATTCTGTAGAAAGGGGAAAGTGCTCAGTCTAGCAAAGCACTCTCCCTGGTTGGTAGGACACATAGAAATAATACTAGCTTCCAATCACAGAAATCTTATGCACAGGTCCACCTATCATTCAGCAGGTCCTGGCAACCTTGAGGTTGGGCTGATAATTAGATGCTTTCAAAGGAAGAAATTTTCCTCTTCTAAATTTTCTTTATTTGCTGCTTTTCAAACTACAAAAATGAAATAAGCATGCTTAAACATGTGAACAAATGATGTCCTTAATTTGGTAACACTCTGGTTACTTCTTCCACATCTCACTCCTTACAGACGTATATTCACATATATAAAGAGTGTGTTGATTTATTTACCTGAAATAGAATCATACTTTAATATTCCTAGAAATAGGTTTTTGGAACGTGACCACAGATATCTCTGAACACCACTAGTTTTGGGGGTCCAACCGCATTTACCATTAGATTATAATAATTCAAGTATCACTGAGTGACTGCCACCTTCATAGGTGTGTTATGGTGATAAAAAAGAAAATATGTAGTCATGCTGTTTCCTCCATATCCTGGGACCCTAGCTTCACTCTCTGTGTAGTTTTTTCCTTCTCTAGCAACTTTCTATTTCCTTTATGAAGACCAAAAGCCCTAATGAAACTTCCCCACTCTACATTTCCAAAAGCATTTGTTAGGGGGAACAAAAAAAAGATAAACTCATTCATTCACTTTCAGTTGCAAATGATTGATAAGGATTAGTGTGCAACCTTTTTTTATGACAGCTGTGTTTTCATAAATACCAAATCCCTGTTTGAATAACTCCTAACAATGAAGTTCTAATTGTGCAGTCCCAGGAACTGGCAAGCCTAGAAGTGGATGGTAAATTGGGACAGAGTAAAGAGAGTCACCTTCTAATCCCTAGAACCACACAAACCCAGGTGACAAAGTGCAAACACATATTCCTGCTTTTATTTTGGTCAATTATGTAACCTCTTGCACATTTTTAAGTTGATATAATTTTTAAAAATTAAATTAAAAGGATGCGTTGTTGGCCTGTGGAGAATATTCAGATTTTAAAATTAAACTGTCACAATATTCATAGATATATATATTCAATAAAATATAAATGCAATATTGATTTGATTATCTAGTTTCAAAATTCATGAACAAGCTCTTCTTTATTAGTCATAAAATGTACATTGTTCTTTTTTAAAACTGTAACTTGTGTTTCCAACATATGTCCTGTGCAAGATTTTATCTTGTTGTAGTATTTCATGCTTAAAAATCTTTTATTGATCAGTTATCATATTTATTTGCAAATATATAGAGTGATTGAAATTGAGATTTCTTTTATATTCTGTGATCATAAAACTCGGAGTAATACTATCTTCTCTTAGAATGAATTATCATTACAAGGACAATATTGATAAAACAACATAAATATATTGTCCATGTTTTTAAGTATAATTAAACATAAAAAGTAAAGTTTTACAGGAAATATAGTACTTAATGGGGTAGATGAAACTTTTTAAAAATTATACCTTGAATAAATATCATTACTGCTAGAATGAGATAGAGCTCAGGATCAATTCAATTCCTATTTTTGTTTGAGAAAAACCTAGTTCACATAAGCAAGGGAGAATCTTGTATAGCAGTGCCACTCAATTCTTTGAACCCCTTCCAAGACGTGTGCCAACAATCACATAGTAATACAGCTTCAAAAATTATTTTAATGATCTCACAGCTGACAATTCAATTAGTTCCTCCTTCAATTTCTTTCAAAGCAATGAATTGAAAAATACCTGACTTGCACAGGGCTTTGTAACTCAGTATTAAATTCATTCAATTTCACAATATCTGGATAGTATGCTGCTAACATTTTACCAGGCCTTATCAAATGACTATTAAAGATACATTTCTCTTTTACTTAGAAGCACCTTGTTCAACCCAATACACCCAGAAAGGTGGGTAAATTTGAATGCTGTTTATTTTAATATGCCAAATCACATTGTCCTCTGCCAGAAAACACCTCTTTCTCTAATTCCAAGATAGAGAAGGCATCGCTTTGCCATGAATTTATTACTGATAAAATGATGTACCATTACCTTCATTATGTCTCTGCTTACTTTGGTGGGGCTCCCTTCAAAAGGGACCCTTTTTTTTGACAATAGTTGGATGGTGTAAATGACAACGAAAGTAAAGGTAAATTCTTTCGTGGACAACTTATAAAGTGGGAACCGTCAGAAAGGAGAACCAGAATTACAATTCAATCTTAGGCACCTTCTCAGGCAGACTGATTTAGGAAATCTGAAATCCTGAATGTATTCTCTTAAAACTTTCATTGTGCTTGTATAAGACCTACATCTGCAGGTTGGAGTACATGGAACTCAGTTTGAAACCAGGGGATTTTGCAGGGACTGACTTTAAAACAGGTCATCAGAATCTATCCTCCAGAGGCAAAACATACTCTCAGTGCCCTGCCACACGGCCCTTGAAAAGCCTTGTGTACTCCTTGGGTAGACATACCCCAGACAGATGTCTATGGCCCAATTTACCTTCTCTCAAACCTGGGCCTCATTAGTGGGCATAGGGGGTAACTGGATAAATCTATCTCCCTGAATGGGAGAGAGCTGGTTCATTGAGTTTGTATAGTCCTAGAACCTAAAGAATGATAAAGACACTTGTGAGAATAATGATATTGGTTGAGGGAAAAGGAGGAACCATAACAGAGAATAGTAGGAAGAAGAATTCAGAGAAGAACTTTTAAAAAAGTGCTTAAGTGTTCTTCCAAACCTGGCTCCTTCCCTGCTGTTTATGGCTGTGTTGGACTCTCATTAACCAGAAGCACACAAAGGAGAAATTTTTATGTTAAATAAGGGCATCCAGGAAGAAAGTCAAGAAACACTACTGACAACTTTCTAATTTCTTGAAAACACCTTTAGGTCTCTAAAATTCTTACTTTTAAGCAAATTCTACCTAGCGGTCCTTGATAAGATAGAACTCATTATAACTCTACAGTAATGTCTAAAATTACATAGTACTTATAGTTACCTAGGACAGTTTAAGAACTTCCATATATTAAATCACCTGATGCTCATAACTACCATTCGAGACACACTCTATTATTATCACACTTTACAAATCAGGAAACTGAGATGCAGAGAGGCTCAGGACTCCAAACAGCTGGTACAACCGGAGCAGGGAATTTAGACCTAGGCAGCCTGTAGAATTCCTGCACTTAAGGATTATAGCCTTCTTGAAAAGAAAGTGCTTGTGGCTCAAGAATCCAAGTAATAAGGCCAGGAGGAGTTGGTTGGCATTATCCAATCAGTTTCCCACAAATTTATGGTAGTTAGTATTTAATTTTCTCATA